AGGACATATACAGCGCCATATATGAAGTTTCCAAGCGATTTCTTTCATAGGCCGTATAAAGTTCCAAAAAGGTCCCTATCACAAAAAGAGAGAAAGGAGAACACAATGATGTCTTAATCTATGTCGATAATCATGGAACCTCATACGAACAGGGTATTTCGTCTGCCTACGCCAACGCCAGTTTGGTCAAGAATTCACGTTGCTGCTCTCAGCTGATAAGATTGTAGAAGAAAATACAGGTTGAGCGGTAAGATAGAATAAGCTCTGAGATCCATCATGTTGGCCTATCATTCGCATGCTCCATCGAAACCTACATAGCTAGTGAATTAACTTTGCCGATAGAAATCTCTATAACTTCTAATCGGAGTTTTCAGATCTTCTTCCGCTCACAATAATGTACATGATAATTCTCGCGAGATCTAAAGATCTAACCCTAGGATAAGTGATTATAACTTGCTAGCAAAAGGGCCGCTTAGCGGCGCTTTGTCTAGGAAGATTATAACTTACAACTAAGAACGGTAGATAAATTTCGCAGAAACCCTACTGCAATTTGATAAATAATGTTATGAGTATAAAAAAGTTGGCGAAGAAGAAAAAACTCACCGCGTTCGTGGTTAGCAACGTCTCTTCATCCAAATGCACAATCCAGTCGTTATTCTGAAATTCCCCAATTCAAAACCAACAGCAGGTTACCGAAAAATCATGCGCTCACTTGGAGAATGTTCACATCGTCCTCAAGACAGTATTGAAGTGCGCGGGCCTTGAATTTCGCACCACTTTTCGTCCTAGAACAAACATCTCGAACTTAAGTACAAAATTACAAAGTGTTCTTATTGATAGATAGAAAATAGAGATTAAAAGAAAAACCGTATGTTCCACAATAATCTACCGATAAGATGTAGGCACAACGACTTCTCGTACACGTGGTTGAGGAGGTAAATGAATAGCATTATCGGTAACTACCTAAATTAGACACATCAGTGACAGTATTTAGGTGAAAAAAAAACATGCTGATTTTCTTCTTGAATAAGATGATATTGCGAAGTATGTAGAAAATGTTCGTGACGTACCTCGAATATAAAATTTTCCATTCCTGCATCGTAACATGTCCTCATATTAGTGGCTATATTTTCCTGAAATGAAAATGGCTATTAGATATCCACGGTAGGTAGCTTTAGAAGTTGGTATATAATTTGTATAAGTTTGATTTTGTATCAGCTGATATAAAATAAGCTGACTCAAATTTCTTAACAAAACTGGATGGGACTGGCATAAGACCCCGTAAACCCCAAAATGCACTTTTGGCAACATAGCGCTGCAGAAAAGCTTGTGCATGTACACTTAGAAATCTTATCAAAGGAATGCGATGTCTTTGTAGAGATAAAGACACTCAATTTCATTAGTGTGTTGTACTTTGAATAAGAGAATGTGAACCTTATGAAGTAATGGTTCTTAGAAACCCTAAACCTTATCGCACGCGCAAAGAAAAGAAAACATCAGGTTTCACTTTGAATTCTTTCATTCATTCTCATCTACAAAAGTCCTCTCAAAGAAACCCAGGTTTGAGTTGAAATGTTTGCTTTGACGCAACATCCCACCATATACAAAGCTGGACTGAACTTCAAATTCTCGAAAAACAGAGTCAGATAAGACTAAATGTGAATTTTCCAAAGGATAAATCGAAAAAATTCCAAAATTCCGCTTCACTGATGAGATAATGCAGAGATGAAGTGAAAATTGCTTAGGAATAATCGTATAAGACTGTTCTCTTCTGGCTTCATGATCCTCCTAGTTCTGAAACTTGTTCCAATTAACGATATCGATCTGTCGCATCAGATATAATATCATAAACAGCACAACAGTTATGCCAAAGTAAATAAATAGTTTATCTGGACTTACAAAATGTGACATTTTGTAAGTCCAGATATATGTCAATAATGATA